TAGGAAAATCTAGAAAATCCGGCTGGAAGAATCACCACGTGCAAAATTGAAGGTTACGTGAAAGTGATGGGAAAAGAAGTTAAGTGGTGACGTAAATTAGAATGTGAGGGAAAAGAATGTCGTCCTTGAAGGACAGTGGGGTCAGGCGACCTTGAATTGTAAAAGGTGAAAAAAAGAGAAAGACACAAAAAATGCGTTGCTAACGTAAAAGTAAAAGAAACATTTCCAATTCTCTTCACAGAAAAAAAATGGGTAAAAAAAATGAAGAGAAATAAAATAGGAAAAGTACAAATACTATCAACTATGAAAGATTAAATTAAATTTAAATTACTGACATAAAAAAATCGTCACACAACACTGTGACAGTCACCATTATCCAACATTTTCCATTATGCGTTCATGGTGTTTGTTACGCCATCAAACTTCCATCATTACTTGATGAAAACTGAATGCTACTTTAATACTATGATGGTTAACTATCAAGCGAAGTTTAATTCTCATGGACCCACAATCCTTGATGGTCCATAATGGTTCCCACACTATACATTTCCATGATGGGAATTCTTGTTGGTTCTCATGAATATAAAATCAAAACAATTATTATTATTTTTTTTATGTTGAACCATCATAAATCGGTCCAAATTCCTTCATTGGGATGATGGTTCTTCATGATCGTACCAGCATTTGATTTATTAGATACAATGATGGAAATTCGTGATGGTCCATAATGATACAACAACGCATCTCCATGGTTCATCTGGAATATACCATTCAAACAATTTGTTTGTTTTTTTTTTACGTTGGCCCTTAAAAAATCAGACCGAAATTGGTTCATGATCATTCCAACATTTGGTTTCTTAGAAACTATGATGGAAATTGCTGATGGTTCAATACGAACAAACCATCATAAATCAGTTGTTGGCCCATCATAAAAAAGTCAGTCTGAATTGAGGTGATGGTTACTTACGTTGGTTACTATCAAAAATTGAATAGTTTATGATGGAATTATTGATGGTTATCATCAAGATTATGTTGGTCCATCGATGGAAAACCATCGAAAATTTTGACTTGGGAAGAAGTAATTAATTCGTGAATACAATGTGGAACAGCTAAAAGAGTAAAGGTGAAGTTCAGTTGCAATGAGTGATTAGTTTGAATCAATAATAGTCAATGAAACGGTTAAGATTAAGAAAGGGATCATAATTATTTCATTATTTATTTTTGTTACTGTACGAAAAATAAGCTGTTAAAGGAGAAGACCAGAATCAAAAAATCTGCAAAACGATCATTTATACCTCTGAATTGATCTTTTAAATAATGAAATGTGCTTTTGATTCATGGATATACAGAGGTCAACGTGGAAGTACAGAAAAATGTGGACAATGTTGAACGGTCAAGTTCCACTAGGTGGCGGTACATTAAAGATAATTTCCTTTTATTTCATAATGTATTTTATTTAAAAATAAGGAGAATGACTATAAAAGTATCTGAGAGTAGATTACAATTTCCAATTAATTAAATTATTCAGCAACTTTTCTTTAAAAGAAACAAAATAGATTGTAATTGTTTTTTTCAATTAAAATTGGCACACATGAGAGCTGTAAAAAATGGATACTTACGAATTATCAATCAAAAAGAACACAAATAATAACAAATTTAACTTATCGACAGATTTGTAACAGCTTGCTTTTCATTACAAAATATCAATGTTAATGTTTTTTTTTTTTAATTTACTATTGGAAGTATTGAGAACCCAAAACACCGTGTTTTTAGTATTTTGTATAGAATCAAAGACAAAGAATTATATATAATGTTGTCTATCATATCTATTGTCTATTATATGTATCGAATAGAAATAGCTTGACGAATTGAAACTTAGCATGGAATCAATTACATAATTACAGCGAGCAAATATTATTAAAATAGCCATGATAATAAAATGGGGAAACAACTGCCGTAACTTAGCAACAAGTTGTCCATAGAAACAAACTGAATAGAAATTATGGATTAAAATTGAACATGGTTCTTTTTAATGAAATTTTTTTAAACTGTTTGTTGGATGTATTTCTTGAACATTAAAAAAAGTTCTTTGTTGTTCATTTTAAACCTTTTAATTCAACGGAAAAATTCTAGGTAAAATGAGTTGCGTTCACAATTTATCTCTATCTTCAAATCTAATAAATTGAAATCTACAAACTTCCTTTCAAACCTATTTAAATGAGAGAGAGAGAGAAAAAAAAGACTTATTTGAAATATCGAGTTCTGAAATGAAATCGATTTTCTGTGAAAGAAAATATTTTAAATGGCTTTAGTGAAGATGTTCTAGAAATGCTGGTGAGTGTTCATCAAAATACTGTATAGCAAACACAAATACTGCTGAACAAATATAAATTTTACTGTTTTCATATGACACTTAATACGAATATAAGATATTACAGCACGCTTGCGAACCTTGAATAACTTATGAATAATTTCATAACTAATTTGAAAATTATTAGTGGCTTTCATTGTGGCATAATTTCCTGTTTCATAAGAAATTTGACTGTGACTAATTTCAAAGTATTTCCCACAGATTCCAATGTTTATTAAGCTTATTTGCATTTCCGAAAAGTAGTTGAACTGTGGGACTCAAACATAGAAGATAAATATTCTGTAGACCTACAGCAAGGAGGAAAACTATATGTAAAGTGAAAGATAAGGATGCATGAAAAATAAAATAATGAATAATAAATTTGTTAATTATCTATCAATTAATAAGTTTAAAGCATACGATTGGTGAAGACAAAATTATGAACGTGAATTCAGAGTAATCTAAGAAACAGGGGAGTTCGCCCAGGATAAATCTGACAAGCTTTTATCATATTTGACTAAATCTTGAAAACTTTATCTTTGACTATATTTTAAAATTTTCATCTTTAATTAAGTCTTTTAAAAAATTTAATATTGAAATTTTATCTTTGACTGAAGATTGGAGTTTAATCCTTGACTAAGTAATGAAATCTTATTTTAGCAAAATCTTTAAAACTTCACCTTTGTCTAAGTTTTGAAATTTTCGTCTTACATTAAATCGTTTAAACTTTATTCTTTATCTTAACTAAAATCTTACTATTCGAACAAGAATATGAATGTGCATTTTTGCTTTTATTTATTTTTTTCTTAAACTGTAAGAGCTCATTATTAGTTGTTGTATTTTTTTCATTTATTTTTTAAAGAATATTGTTTATCTCAGGCAATAATTATTAAATGCTTTGCCAGCAAACATGCTCAGCTCCACAGATGTTTGCACTGCTTTTATAAGTTAATGTGATGAAAATATTGCATAAAAAATTGTTGAAACTTAAAAAATAGGATATAACCATTTAGAAAAATTATGTTTAAGCCAAGCGCAATGGAATCTGGTTATGGATATTTGTGGAATATTTTAACGATTCTTGGCATATCAGTTCCCAATTCCGTCAGAAAACCCGAATTTAAAGGCTCAACTAAATCCTATTTCAAAATTTTGTTTATCTTATTTTTTCTTATGCTTCTCTGCTATTTTTTATATGAATTGGCAGTATTAGCTAGCGCTATGGAAATACGGACGTTCTTTCCTCTTTTGATTGTCTGCATTCTATCAAATGCATTGTGGGTAACTGTTTATAAGCGCCGATTTCGTATTAAAAAGTTATTAACTCAGATGCACCAGTTTTCGAACATTAATCTTCATCAGACATACAATCGGAACTTCCTTTTAAACATAATACTGTTAGTTTTTTTAACTGTTAAATTCAACTTGTTTATATTGTTAATTCTTGGTCAAAAATTCAATCCAAATTCAACCGACTATTCATACGATTACGGAACAATTGATAACATATGGAACAAAATATATCAATTTCTGATGACATTTATTTATGAATTTGAATTTTTGTCATTACCCTGCTTTATGACTTTACTCATATGTGCGCTTTATAATCATTTTAGTTTTCTCCAGGGACTTTATGAAAACAAACTACTCACTTTCTTCAAAGATAATGTAATCATTGATTTTGTGTTCGAGTACTCTACTTTGATAGACATTGCTTACAGTTTGGATGATATTTTGCAAGTTCCCGCCTTTCTGATTGTTGCCATTCAACTTCTTCTTATGTTTAATAGTCTCCAAGCTTTGGTGATGGTAAAAGAAGTCTGGTTACCGGCATTCTTGACAGAAACTTTGTTGATGATGATAATTCCTGCTTTTGCCATTTTCATACTGGCTTATGTGGCTTCAGTTATATACATAAAGATGAAGAATATAAAAATGATGTTAGAAGATTTATATGATAAAGAACTGCACCAAACAAAGCAAAAATCTCGAAGTTTATCTATCATTAAAGCGATGGCCGAGAAAGAAATTTTCGCCATGTCTGCATGGGGAATGATATATTTTACCAGGAATTATATTCTATCTGTATTCGGAGGATTTTTTACGTATGCTCTTTTATTCATTAATATCAAACAGGATCCACTATCGAAATGTTAGGAACTTCTGGGAATGTTTATTTATTTTTGGAAATCTACTGTCCATAATTTGTAATTTCTTGTGCGATTATGTAGTGCCGTCACAAACATTGATTGAAATCTACGGTTCATTATCTAACATTTTTGAATATTGTATGCGTATATATTTATAAATAGTTATGTCTTATTCATGAAAAATAATGCAAAAAACTGCAGTATGAAAACAAAGGAAAATGCATCAAATACAATGTAATATTGTATCGTCTTTGAAACTTTCTCACTTCCAATCTAATAGTGGGACTATGCAATTGATCTGTGTGAAATAACATTTAACTTTGTTATTACAACCATAAAAATGTGCAGATTGTCTCTCATAAAATTCAGGTAATTAATATGCATTTATTTATTATTCCGATTTCACTATTGGATGCATAATTATTGTAACATGAATAAACGTTTTTTTTTCCTTTCATTATATTTTATTTATTAACACATAGTATTTATCTCTTTTTCAGGACAATAATTATGTGGCCTTTCGCAGTATCAAACCAGCAGCATCCCATCACTATCTCGTTGTCCCAAAAAATCACATTAAAGACGCTGTTGGATTAAAACCTCATCACATACCCATGTGTAAGAAATGTTCTACTGTATTGCTATTACGATATTTATGTCAAAATATTCAATTTCGTGCAATATATACAATACTTATCTAAATTTCATACTAATAGCAAAGATCTTCAAAAAAGTATAAGAAAATATAACAAAACTATCACAGCTGTATTTTCAGTTGATTCTGGTAAAACAAGGTATGTAACAAGAAAGTAAAACAAAAGAACAGAATGAAATTTTGTATAATAAAGGTAATATACACATGCAGAACTCGCGGTTGCTTTTATAGTGACAGAACTTAACGTCATCAGCTATCCTCCTAAAAGTTCGGTTCTTATTTATCTGAAGAATTTTTAAAATAACGTTTCGATGAGAAATAATTGAAAGTCGTTTGCCACATAAGAAAAAGTGTCGTTTGAAATCTTCGAGGTTCTGTAACTGTAACCGCAACCGTGAGACCGGAATCATCATTTTAAACTTTTTCTGATCATACAATTAATACCTTCAAAAAATTTTGTTTTTCATTGTCAAAAATGATATGCTTGGCAGGTGTATAGGTTGGCTTAATTATTCATACTGTATGTCTCAAAAAGAATACAACAAACATGTGATTGCTGGTTTTAACCACGCTAATTTTTAACATGGTTAAAATCTGCCACTTGAATTGACCCAAAATTGTGTAAACATTCACACTATTAAATATTCCAACTCTACCGAAAATTAATACTCTCAGTATTAATAATAGAGATTCTGACTTATTAATTTTACTTTAATCATTGTTATTGTAATATTTTATTATTAATACATTATTGTTTAAAAAAAACTAATAATTAATCATTTAAAATTTATATCAATGAAATAAAAATAAATAAATTAATTAAGCAGTTTCTCTTTTTTATTTACTCAAACAAAAAGGGTAGATACTATAAAGAAAGTGTCGGAAAATATTTTGTTTCACGTGAAAGTAATTTATTATTATTATTCCAGTGGAGCAAATGGAATACATCGGAAAAGAAGTTTTGAGCCAACTTGGAGGAGATCTAAATTCCAGCAGGTATTACATATTTATCTATACAAGGGGTGATCAAATGAAAAGGTACGAAACGACACGGTGCATACAAATGTAGACTTTATTCAAAATATACACCATAGGCCTGGGCACAACGATCCCACTGATGAACAAGCAGCAGGATTCCTTGATCCCAGAATTCCTGTGGCCGTGACGAGACCCAGTCCTTCACAGCGTCCATGAGTACGTTGTCCGAGTTGAAGAGCTTCCCTTTCAGGTGTTTTTTCAGTGGACCAAACACATGGAAATCGCAGGGCAACATGTCCGGACTGTAGGGCGGATGGTCCAACGTCTCCCACTTGAACTTGGCCAGTTCCATGTGTGTGACTCTGGAGACAGGTGGACGCGCGTTATCGGGGCCGAACCACACCCTCCGTGAGCAGCCCCGGTCTTTTGTTCTTGATGGACCTGCGTAGGCGTCAAAGTGTCTCACATGGGAGTTAATGGTTTTTCTGTTCTCGAGGAAATCGGATAACACCTCGCTTCTCCTCAATCGTCGAATTTTGCAACGCGAACGCCATCCTGTCCTCATACGGGCTGCCGCATCATTTGGACGCCAATTATGATAAGAGCCTCTGCTCTCTCCAGCGCATGCGCGCACCCGCGCAGGCTCCGATCGCAGTCAGAGTCTCCAATCGCATCCCGANGAATTTTGCTACGCGAACGCCATCCTGTCCTTATACGGGCTGCCGCATCATTTGGACGCCAATTATGATAAGAGCCTCTGCTCTCTCCAGCGCATGCGCGCACCCGCGCAGGCTCCGATCGCAGTCAGAGTCTCCAATCGCATCCCGAGATGTCTCGCTACGTTCTCCCATAGCGGAATATACAAATATTCAACTGTAACGTTTTTACGTCGTTTCGTACCTTTTCATTAAGAATAGTGCAGATATTAACTCACACCATAAAAAAAAACTAAAATACTCATAGAATTTCTAATAAAAAAAATACTGCAATGGATGCATTTTATTATAGACTTGGATATCATTGGCCCCCTTTCATATCTGTGCCTCATCTTCACCTACACGTGATATCGCCAGAATGTGAATTGTCCTCTAGGTCACATATCCTTTTCAAACCAGGCACCAGGTGGTTCCGAACAGTAAGTCGTACTATACATGTATGCTCATATATAACATTAAAAGCTTCAATTGATGTTATTCCTTTTCTGTAAATCCTTTTATTTTATTATTCTAATCGAAACACTTTCTCACACTTTTAAATTCACATCGTGTCCTTAAATCTATTTTTGGCTTAAGTATGCATTCATTAAAAGTAAGACATCTTTCCCTTTGCTCATTGTGGGAATCGCGCGACCTATTTAATAAACCAATTTTATTTTTATTTTATGACCGCCGTTGAACAGCTGACCCAATTTTTGGGTTTACGACTACTAATGTTCAATTGCCGTAGCCTTGTAATTTTGAACCAATCCAGAAGACAAGGGAATTCCTGGATCAGTATCCCCAGATGTATTGATTTGTTATGGGAGCATGGAGGACTTTGAGACTCGACATATTTAACGTGCATCAGTCACCATTTACTACACAGGGAGTCTTCGACCGGCGGGGACCGAACCCACGAATTCTTAGACATGGGCCCGGCACCCCACCGACCAGGCTATCCCGGCCTTGTAGCGACAATTTATCAGAATTATTGTTGTACCGCACCTGTGGACCTGCTACAAGGGGAGTATTAGTTGATTATGGCAGTAAATAGAAATCATTTGTCATAATTGGATTTGGTGTTTACCAATATCTTTTAGTTGTTCCGTCATGGTGTTGTTCATCGCCTGTAAACTATTGAATTTGAAAAATTAGTATCATGAGAAACAAACTTATCAATTTTGACTTACTGCCTTAGTACAAGATTAGAAACTTATGTTATCGCTAATTGATTGCGTACCCTATGTTGGTGCTTTAGTTATTTAACCTAATTAGGTCCATATTGATCAGTTTGCACCTTGAGATAGTCACAGAGTGCTGCAGTTGGTGTTTATCCGGATTAAAGATGATTGGGAGAAACTTTGTGTGTCAAATTTGAGCCGATACCTAGATCTTGAATAGCCTACTGTTAAAACTATCACATCAGATGTTATTTACTAATTTTACATTGATTGACTAGCAACGTTACATTACAGACTCAATGGATGGACATCGACAATAACAGTACAATATAAAATAGCTAGTCACGTCACAGTTTTTTTAAAATTTTTTTTATTTTTTACATTTAACATAAATGGCCATCACGGGTAGCTGAAAAGCTTCGGACTCACTGTCCCCAGGGACTGGGAGCAGGGTCAGTGGTGAGGCGTGTGTGGTGATCATTCTTGTTGGCTGCTATTGTGAGCCAGTCCGTGGTTGATTGTGGGGGATGTATGTTTTGTTTATGTTGTGTTGTGTGTTTTACCTATTTTTATTATGAGTGGTAGTTGAGGCAGTGTTTCGGCGGAATGTGAACTATAAAACTTACCAAAGTCATAAATGGTGGTAGCTTAGTAGAAATTAGTAATTAAGTTGGCTGACTCATCCCCCACCTTTTTTTTCCTTTAAATTTACATGAATAGCCATCACGGGTAGCTGAAAAGCTCCTGGCACACTGCTTGCCCCCAGTGTCTAGGAGCAGGGTCAGTGGTGAGGCGTGTGTGGTGATCAACCACGTTGGCTGCCATTGTGAGCCAGTCCGTGGTTGATTGTGGGATATATGTGTTTTGTTTTGAGACTATGTATCAGTGTTAGTCATAGAGATTTTGGGAGTTTTGAGAGACATAGGGATATCAGTTAGGTTATATTTGGCCAATATTTTTACCACTATGGACGCTAGTTGGTCTGCTAAAGACCCATCTGTTGTTAAGCTCTTGTACCTTGGGTAAAATGATCATAATATAGATTAGTGTATTATTGTGTGTGCGTTTATCGACAGTTACTCTTGTTTGTGCAGATCGAGCTTGAGGGCTTTCTTTTTTTCTTTTTTAAGCCTCACGGACAACAGCTTGTGTTGACTGACTGCCTGCCAAATGTTTGTTGATCAGGGGTGGGGCCAGAGTGTGTTTTTATGCTGCAGCAATGGTTTGCCTAGAGCCCTGACTGCTCATGTTTGTATTTGCTGCCAGTATTTTTACGAAGTTATTATTAGGTTTATGACATATTGTCTGTAATGTTCCTGGTTATGGCAAGAATATTTATTAGTTTTTGCATAATATGCTTGTTTAATAAACCAATTGTAATTATTAAAATTTCCCTCTTTCCCTAAATCGCGACATTTTACTGATTTTTTTTGCAAGATTTTCCCTAACATTTAGGCTGAAGCACGATGAAATTGTGGCTCATTTTCTTTCGTCTTACATCTCGAAATGATGAAATAAAATAAATTACGAAAATAATTCACAATTTTAAAAACTTAAAATAATAATGCTTCCCATGGAAAAACGCGCAAAGCAGCAGTGAATCCGAAAGGAATTGAAACAAGAGAAACATTGAAATTGCCCCCTCAAGACGTCACCTTCGATTGTCATATTTATACAATTTTTTTTTCATATTTCAATGTTTCTCTTAAATAAAATACATTTGTTCGCTCTCTTTAAAAATCCTGTGCCTGTTTGTTCTGCTCACACGTCCATGACTGCAAACCTTACATATATGTATATATATATTCTATATATCTTCTATATTCTATATATCTTCTATATTCTATATATATACACCGAAAAGCCAATGACCACCCTGCTAATAACATGTAGGACCGCCTTTAGCCCTCAAAACTGTGAGCACCCGCCGTGGCATTGATTCCACAAGGTACTAATAGGTAGTCTGAGGTTACTGGTACGAAGCGCTCACCAACTGGTCCTGCAATTCCCTCATATTCCGAAGGAGTAGCGTGGCAGCACGAATTTGGTTTTCCAAGTAGGACCACAAATGCTCTATTGGATTAAGATCAGGTGAATTTAGGGGCCAAGACATGACTTGAAAGTCACTAGAATGTTCCTCTAACCAATCCATGACGATTCGACCCTTATGACATGGTGCATTATCCTGTTGGTAAACACCATCCCCCGCAGGAAAAACTGTTGCCATGAATGGGTGAACCTGGTCTGCAACTATGTTCAAGTAGCTTACAGACGTCAGGGATTGTTCTATGAGGATTATGGGTCCTAATGTGCCCCATGAAAACATTGTTCCTGGGCGAGAAACCATGAAAACCTGGGTGAGCTCATTGTTATAAATGGAGGGTGGTCATGATGTAGTGGCTCTTCGGTGTATATATATACCAAGATGAGACGAAATACGAAAAAAAGATAATTAAAGATCTAAATTTAAGACTGCTCTTCTGACTAAACTATTGAGTGGGGCCTCCCTGGCCGAGCTCTATTAGGCGTGGAGGTGGAGAGTTCGAATATATTCTTTGTGATGTTCTTCTCTGTATTGTGCTATCTGTCCTTCTACTTAACAAAGGTTTATAAGCCTTAATTAAGCAGACAAACCTGCAAATGTATGTTGTACCTAACTATTCAGACTTTATTTTCTCGATAGCGGCGTTAACTCCCATATTTTTTTTAGTCAAAAACCCGTATTCTTTAATAAAGAGATAATGTTTATTCGGAGAAAATAATTTTTTTTTCTTCGTCTGATTCCGTATTTTAGTTATGAGTTAGCTCTAATTAATTTACATAGTTGACGTCAGCTCTCTGTACCATTAAGTTAGGGAAAAATCTGATCATTAGGACAAAAATTATTTTGGGTGATGTCTTTTACCTTTTTATAGGTTCATTGAGTTATCCATAAAAATAAAAAAAATTTAACATAAAATTACTCAGTGAAATTGCACCAGAATTTTTTTTATTTTCCCAACCTACTATCTTTTGTATGCAATTATATTCAGTACATCTTTATAAGATAACAGCAGAATCTATTAAAATATGCAAACGTTTGAAATTATTTACCTGATAAAGTTTCGAGGTTTTTAAACAATTCATTTGAATTGCTTGATATGCAAGCGAAAAAATGGACTCTTCCATTCAATGTGTGTTTCAAAAGAATTATTCTGAGAGGTCCCCCTTACACCGTATTGTACTGCAACTTAAAGAGTGAGTAAAGACTGAACTTAACTAAAAGAGTGTCTCTGTTCAAAGTGGAACCATACTATCGATGTATCTTGAACCATTTAATAAGGTGTTGAAGTAAACCGTAGCATTTGTTCAAGTTGAACCAATGCATTGTGTCATCAAATTTATGAAGCATTATAAAATGATTCAGTTCCTATTAAGCTTGTCAAATTCTTTACACGATATTCTACTATGTCCGCTCTTAATATTTATTTTTAGAATTCTTGTAAAAAAATGAAATAAATGTTTGTAGTTTCAAATTAAGAAAGAAAAACGTTTTCAAGTTTTAACTGATCATTACTGAGATTAATAAGAGCAAAATGATTTAAATAAACAGATTATTTGTCTCACTAGGGACAGAAATGCTCTCACCTTCTTTAAGTATTATCCTTAAATAAACTGGTTTTAGACCTCATCACTTATTATGGGTATTGTTAATAATGGGTCATAGTTTTCTCCCGCACACTAAAATAGTGCATGATTTACTAGTACGATTCAGGGTGGTCATTAAGGAGTACCTTTTATCAAACTTGGTGAGTCATTAAGTTAAGCCATTTTATCATACTTCTTAAACTTGATTATTGGATGCTATGTTTAAACTGAAAAAAATACACACTTTGTTCAATTTAACAACTTATTAAAGCTGCAGCAAATGCATTATGGTTCAAGGGAAATCTACACATGGTTAAATTGTTTTTTTTTTTGTTTTTTTTGTTATCTCTTTCCAGACTAATCAAGTGATTTCAAAACTGAATACAAGGAGTTTAGTGTCAACATTGTGAAGAATTTTGGATCATGAAATGTTGAGTGTTCGGCATTTTTAATGCTCAAGTGAAGGAAAATGTGTACTAATGCTCTTTGTATATATATATATATTTAAAATGATTATTGATATTTGTTTTGTCTTACTTGTTTGTTTGATAAAATTTTTAACAAAAGAATATTTAAATGCGTAGAACTGAGTTCATATTCTTTGTCAATCTTTACACTAACCCTAACACCTGATGTTGCTTTTAAGCATTACAAATTATTTTTTAGTTTGGTTAAAAGATATTTTTTTAAAAATTTTTTTTACTCAAACAAGGCAACGTTATCGTTCTGTTAACTACTTTTTTCGTTGTGGTTTTTATGTTTAGTTGTAAATAAAAAATTTAAACTGTTTATGTTGTACTTTAGAAGATTTAGGAGTATTTAGAAGATGTTCCGGTAAAAGGTTTGTCTAACTATCTTTTTGATGAGGTAGTTTCATTGCCCCCTCCCAAAAAAATTATATATGACATGATCCTCAATAAACAAAATATTATCCAGCTTTAATAGTTGCTGTAAATGTTACTATTTATGACAGTTGTTGTAAGAATAGGAACTATTAATCATAATTTTAACAGTTTCTGCTGATTATCCAGGTATCGGGTTATTTTTCATTTGTCATGAAAAAAAAAACTAGAATTTAACACGATAATTGCCTCACTTCCTGGAATACAAGTATTATTCATTACTTTTATTATGTTGTGAATTCGGAATCATTTGTGGAAAAAAAAGTTTAAGACAAAGAATTTTTTTTTAAATTATTAATATCTATATATATAATTCTCTTACGCGGCGACAAAAAAAAAGCCTCATTACAACTCCCCGAATGGCAACGCTAGAAAATCGACCAATGATTACTGCTGAAAATGTCACATGCCAGATCCAAATGAGGAGGCTCAACATATAGCTCTTTTAAAAACGGAAACTGAAATAACAATTCAGCCGCGGCAATCTCATACTATTAAGCTAGGCAGAAGTGAGTAGTCGTTGTCGATAGATCTCTATTTTAGTATTTTGTCGAAAGCGCTTTTTTTCACGAATTTATTTGACGATTTTTGATTTATATCACGAATTTATTTGTTTTATTATTGTTATTAGTTATTCATTGAAAAATGAGTCTCAGTCACTGAGTTTTTATTTGAATTCAAATTTATTTNAAGTTTGCAGCGAGCGAAGCAAACCATATAAGATTGCGTAGCAATTTTCGGGGGTTGGCAATCGTTAGCGAGCAGGGAGCGCAGCCCACTAGTTTTTTTAAATAATTCTTAAATAATAGATTACTCTAAATCTATGATATCAAAAATCTAATACAATAAAAAAATCTCAGCGAAGTCTACGACAGATTGATGATTTTTCTGAAATTTAGCAGTTTAAAATAGTCTGGTGACTGCTTGCATGCTAGGAGGAGGAATTAAAAAAACGATGCTCTGTATTAGGGAAGCTAAAATAAAAAAAAATAAAAAAAAAATAAAAAAAAAAACGCTTTCGTAGTTTAATATTTGCGTTTTGTTTTCCGCATAAAAACTGTGACACTTTTGGAAATGTAAAATTGCTATGATGCATGGGAAAAAAAGAACAGAGGAAATGAAAATTTTGAATACACGATAATTATTAACTGTTAATCTTGTTTTATATTTTATTTTTTTATTACTGTCGTTGAACAGCCGATCCAGTTTTAGGGTTTACGATTACTAATGTTCAACTCCGTAGTCTTGTTATTTTGAACCCAATCCTGAAGACAAGGGAACTCTCGGATCAAGTATTGGAACTAACCCGCATTTGCGTTACTTGGAGAGGAAAACCTCCCACGGTTTGTCTGACTGCAAGGGGACTTTAATGGATCATGATTCGTCAACACTATGATCGGTGCAATCTGGATGAGGAATTCGTATCGACGAGCCATCGCTGGGAATTGAACCCGGTTTCCCTCATTGGAAGGCTATCCTCTGAACCATCACTGCTCTTTAATCTAATTTTAGAAAATAACACGAGTGTGAAAGATACAAACAGGGAGTGATTTATGACTTTTGAGGGGTTCCACAACGATAACAAGAAAAATATTTTTAACAAGTTTAGTCTTTCTCCAAATTTTTCTTGTATTTTTTATATTATAATGTCAACTCTAAAATGTGAAATACATTTAATGTGAGTTGTTTTATAGTTCATGAAATTATGGCTACCTCAAAAAAAAAATGTTATAAATATTTTCTTCTTTATGAAAAAAATAAAATTTTAGCTAATGATTTTTTAGAATGCTTTGGTAGGTGCTCAGTAGGAATATATTGTTTCCTACTTTATTTTCATCACCAGCAACTCATACCCTCTATCTATTAAATTTCAGCCTATTTTTTTCATAGTTAAGGCAAATTAAATTTTGAATTTCTATAGAATGAACTCTTAAATAAGCTATTTAATTATTTAGACTCTGTCTACTGTTGTCGAAAGATTATCATTTGATATTTGTAATTGAAAACTATGCACCCAAACTGAAATTTGTTGACTCTTTTACAGGGCTTTGTGCCCCGAGTCCTGTTAATAAAATGGGTGATTTTGACATAGAGTTACTATGTTTTCCAAAATTCTTACTTTGAAATTTAATTCACTTTTGATTGCTTATGTGTCATTCTGCTTTAAAAATGACTAGAGACCAGTTTTTAACAAGAAAAGTAGGAAAAATATTTATCTCATGAATTTTTTTTTTTATATGCTCATCCAAGATAAGTAAGAACTCTTTCTTTTTTTCTCTTTCTTCAGAGTGACGAAATATGATGTCATGTGCCCATAGACGATTCTTAAGCTACCCTATCTTTCAATGTTATTTGTAATGCTAACAAGTCACAGAATTTTATCTTGTCATGTATTTTAAATATAAATTGGATATTGAATGTAATTTCATTTGCAGTTTTTTTTTCTTCTCTTTTTCCGTCTACTACAGAAATTTTGGAATTAAGTAATAGAATTCAAGTTCTAATGTAAATGGTTAAACCAAAGTTTAACTTCATATTTTCAATGTAAAAATTAGATCTATACTTTTACACAATTTAATCCAAAATATTGCGTCTGAGATTAGATTTCATCCGGAGAAAATTTTATAATTCTCAGGATATTATTCTGATGCCAATATCAGCAAGCCCTGCATCGTGAAACCAATGCGGATTTAACGGAGAGGGTGGGTTTCTCGTTTTTCTGTGGTCCTATATCTATAGCAAAGAATACGACCTTAGCCACACACACACGTCATATCTTGTTTCATGGGGTGAGCCCATTCATTTATCCACAGATCGTAATTTTGACCTGAACCAGAGAACGATCCATCTCCAATTTAGTACCAGAGATGTTGATTTGTTATGGGAACATGGAAAACATTGTGACTCGACAGATTTAACGTGCATCAGTCACCATTTACTACAGGGTCTTCGGCTGACGGAGATAGAACTCACGACCTCTTGGACATGGGCCCAACACCCTACCAAACGGGCTATCCTGACCTATAATTATCAGGATAGTGGAAGAAACTGAAAACTCAGAAGAAAAATGTAGATCAAACGTAAAATAGACAAAACGTAAAATAGGTGGTAAAGAAAACATATAAAATAAAATTAAGCAAGATTATTCTGAATAGTTTTTATTAAAGTTTATAGTTTTCATATAGTATAATCAAATTCATTACTTGTTTATATTTTATTCAGTTTACAATAAATTTTTTCTGATAAAATTAACTAAAGTTAAAACTTATTTTTGGTTTAGATTTAATATGTTACTAAGTTAAATCTTCCTTAGATTCTTCGAAATTGTTTTAGCATTTTTTTTTTTCTTTTGTATTTTATTTCTGAAACCTGTTTGAAGTAATAAATATTGAAGTAATATACTATATACGTGGTGTCATATAGTATATAGTTAATGATGCCAGCAAATATTTTCGAATTCCAATCGATAAGTACCCTTTCGATTTGTCTTGAAATACGTTTAACTTTTAGAATAATATTCATTTTTGTAGCTTTTGTTTATTTTTGTTGAAGACTTTTGTCAAAATTTAATACAAATAAAAGCTTTGTTTTTGACCAAATTAAAGATATAATTATGCCATGAAGTATATGCGCCGTTGCAACATGCACAGCAAACTGATTCCAAAAAAAGAAAGAAGGAAAAAGAAAAAAATTAGTTATTATTGTGTTCCAAAACATGAATCTTTTACAAATTTTAGGAAGAGAAATGTATAGTTTGCCTATGTAAAGAACTCCCCCAGCCATTCGTCTGTGGCAGTAACTATGATAACGAGGGTTAACTATTTCAAGTAGGGTAGTTGAGTCATCATTTAAGACAGATTTTGACTCGTGTTGGCGAGAGAAAGGGAATCAGCGAAGAAAGAAGTTTCCCTCTTTGAAATCTTCTATTTCTTGTTTCCATAGCAGCAGACGGCCTTAGACTTTGTGGCAAGGGGAGATCTTTCTTTAGACAAACTATAAAATGAAAAGTGTATTTAATTCTAGAACATGACTTATTTGCTCACAATTCTACAACGAAATTTCTAAATCTGGCTAGCCGAGAAAATATTCATAAGAGAAAACTCCAAAAGAAACTAAAATTAGTTTATTAAAGGGCATAAAATTTTAGTTGTATTAAAAATATTTTTGGTACTTTTATTTGAATAATTTGTTGCAGCATTCAGAGTTATAAAGAAAGTACAGCGATGAAATATCTATTAAGAATGTGACGTCATAAAACATGTTAAGAAACATAAGGCTCTCGTCTACTGTGATTAAGGTTTACTTAAATGAATTATGATTAGTTATAATTCAGTGTTATTTCTAGTTCAAGGGAAATCAATGGTAGGAACTTTCTCTGGGATAGCACTACTTTATGTCTCTAATAACCTTGATACTCGCCTTCAACTGAACCGCAGTAATATAAATGCTCGTCTTTGAATCTAAATTATCCAAAATTAATAATTATATAATAAGCAAAAAGGGGTTATCATTTTTTTCTCTCTTTCTTTCATTATTAATTAATGCTTTTACAAATTTACATTTTCGAAAAATGTATTGTTTCCATCTTTTAATTTAAAAAAATCCATTTTTTTAATTAAA